CAGAGCCCCCGGCGCTCAGGGAGGGGCCCAGGACTCACCGTGGTCGCTCTCGGTGCCGGAGCGGCCCCAGTAGCGGCGGCGGCGCTCGGGGCTGTGCGCGTGGCGCTCGATCACCGCCGCGATGAACCGCGTGTTGCTGACTGCGACAGACACAAAGAGCTCAGGGCACAGCCTGCAGCCCGCTGCTGCACGGGGCACTGCCCAGCCAGCAGCAGCCAAGGGCTGTACACGGGCCAGCATCCAGCCAGGCTGCTTCACCTGGGCTGTGCCATGCTGAGGGGCCCGTGGCAACATGTGAGGGCTCCAAAGGAAACGAAAAGGGATGTGGAGAAGCAGTAGATGCAAGCTGTGAAGCTCAGATGTGCTTATTTTTCCATTTTTGAATGTTGACACAGTTTCAAATCTCGAGTATTGTTTTAGTGAGGGCCCAGAGCCAGGGATCCAGTCTGACCCTGGAGTTCCCCTGGAGTCTGGTGCACCAGCTGCACTTACTGCACACCAGGATTATGCAAAATGCCATTTTTATTGGATGGCAGATAACTGCAGGCACCCCAAATCAATGCAAAAAAGATTTACTGTCATGTTTGCTGACCATACTTGCCAGACTTGGCTTCTGCTTTCTAAGGCCAAAAAAGGGGAAGGGTCTTTCATATCCTGTGCTGTCACAGTGGTAATTTTTAAGCTGATCAGAGCTGTTTCCGGAAGTACTCATGACAAGAGGTTGTAAGGGGCAAAACTACTCCACACCTAATGAAGAATTATCTTTTAAAAGTAAAAAATGCCATTTTCAGCATGAGACTAAAGGTGCACTAGATGTTTGAATTAAAATATTGCTCTGTCATTTTCTACTGATGATCAGCACAAGAATTCCTCACATATTCAAATCTAGGGTGTTAAAAAACAAATTACTTAAAAAAACCAAAAACTGTTAGATTGAATCTCACAGTTTTTCAGGTTTTTTGGTACTTACTGATTCCTCTGTCTTCATGGCTGTCATCATCCCTCTCGTCCCTGTCGTTTTCCAGGTTGGACATACGCACTGACATTTCTACAAACAGAAAATAGAAACAGAAAGCACAGCTGGTGAGAGAAAGGTTCTGCACCATCTTACTGCCAGCTGTCACCCCACAAACAAGAATGGAAGCACTTTGTGTTACTGGTCTGAGCTGGGGCTGCTCTTCTTCCAGTGGGGCTGGGATAGCAGGAAATGCCTCATCCCAACTCTCTCACTTTGAAGTTCTGAAGGGACTGATTTACAACAGAGCTGGGGGATGATCAAATATAGAGGTAATTAGCTGTGATCACACTTAAATTCACAGAATGGTTTGGGTTGGAAAGGGCCTTAAAAGCCCATTTTTTTCTAGCCCCTGCCACAGGCAGAGACACCTCCCACTATCCCAGGCTACTCCGAGCTCTGTCCAGCCTGGCCTGGAACACTTCCAGGGAGGTGTTCTCACCTCTGGATCTTTATCTTTGTACCAGTGTCCCTTCCCCCAGCACAATTTTGCCTCTTAGACTTCAGTGGTTTCATCTCTCTATGCACAGACATTCCATGAACATCACATGGACCAGAACCAGGAAAAACAAGTGAAAAAAGACACATCCCAAACCCGAGGCAAAAGGGAGTGAAAAATGTGTCACTCCCAGCAGCTGCACAAAACAAACACATGATGGATCTGCTGGGCCGAGCTGCAGAAAGCTGGGATTAGTTGTCTGAGCTCTGGCAAAGCTTAGCTTATCTCCCTTTGGGTCTGGGCAGGCTCCCTGGGCAGCAGCAGCAGCTCTGGCTGTACCCAGGAGAGGGCAGCAAGACACAGCCCCTGCACCAGGCCCGGCTCCCTGCAGCTCCAACACGGAGTAAAACCGGGAAACCCTGCAGCAAAACCGCGGGGACAGCCTTGGGATCGCTTTTGCTGTGCTGCTGGGCTTTTTAATTTTCATCCCCAGCCTGTTGCTCAGTCCCCGAGTCGAGCTCACCCTGTGCTGCCAGCGGGGACATGTGCTGGTGGCTGCGGCGGTGGATCTGGTGCCGATAGGCGTACACGGCCAGCACCAGCACCATGATGCAGCCCATGATGCCTCCAGCCACGGGGCCCACGGGGGCACTCTTGATCATGTTCAGGGTGATCACCTCGTCTCCTAAAGCAAAAAGGACAAAGCAGAGGGAGAACAACACCATAAACGCTCTGCAGGAAGGGTTAAACCAACACGGAACACGGAGGAGCTCTGCAAGGATTTCTGGGTGCCTGTGTCACTTGGAATAGAAGACACTCAGAGAGGTGCAGGAAGGGTTAAATCAACAATATGGAACATGGAGAAACTCTGCAAGGATTTCTGGGTGCCTGACTGTGCTCACTTGGAATAGAAGACACTCAGAGAGGTGCAGGAAGGGTTAAATCAACAATATGGAACATGGAGAAACTCTGCAAGGATTTCTGGGTGCCTGACTGTGCTCACTTGGAATAGAAGACACTCAGAGAGGTGCAGGAAGGGTTAAATCAACAATATGGAACATGGAGAAACTCTGCAAGGATTTCTGGGTGCCTGACTGTGCTCACTTGGAATAGGAGGAGGAACTCAGGGAGAGCGCATCTTGCAAGACAGGAATGCACAGTTACACTCTGCTCCACATCAGGATTTTCCAAAAGGTGATATTCACCACGTCTTTGCTGCCTGGTGCACTCTTTATGCTGATTTAACACCAGGGTAAGAGGTAAATGTTCTGTGCAGAACCTGCTGCATGCTCTGGAACACAAAGAGCTGAAGGCAGCACCAGCTCAGGAAGGCAGAGTTACCTATTGCTCCCAGGTCATCCACATAGGGACTCTTGGCTCCCACGATGCCACCAAAGCATTCCTTCTGAGGGGCACAGTACGACTTGTCCAGGTGGGTCTTCCCATCACTGTCCACCATGCACCACTCGCAGTCCAGCACTCCAAAGCAATCCCTGCATGGCAACACCCAAGCAGGACACGGTTACTTTCCAGTTTAACACCTCTCCTTTGCAAAGCTCAGCCTGGGTTAGAGCCACGAGACACAGGGAGGCCAAAAGCATCTGTAAACTCTCAAGTGCATGACTTTAGCCAGAAAAAATTCCATAGAAGTGCTCAAGTGCCACCACAGAAGTTACACAGGGAAGCTGCATTTCCAGCATCCCTTTTCCAACTCTGTCTGCTTTGGTATTTTCCTGCACCACTCAGCCTGAGCAAAGGGAGAATCCTACTTGTAACTCCTCCAATAAGACATTTCTCAGTGTGGTGAAGTCTGGCTGCAGTTCCATCCTTACTCTGCAGCCTTTGGAAGAAGGAAGAAAGGATTTGGGCAGTCTGGTCAGAGCTTGGTCTGTTTTACCCATTTCAGGTCCCTGGAGACTGTTCAGAGCAAAAATGAGCCCTCAGAGCCAGGAGTAGAACCTCATTCTGGCATCATGCTCTTTTTTCCCAATATTTTTTTCTTTGAAACATTTAAAGCAGAGCTATTTCCATTGGATCATTTCCACAGGAGAGTATTCCAAGGGATGGGGAAGGCCACCTTACCCACTCTCTGTTCTCTGGTTGCACTGGGTGTTGATGCACTGTGGGAGTGCATCCTGCAGGCTGGGATCGATGGCCGTGAAAGTCATGGGCTCCTGATGCACCTCACAGCTCGGATTCCTGCATGGCAGCAAAGAACAGAGCACTCAAAGCACAGTCCATTAAAATCATCTTTACCTCCTGCACATCACCTGCCTCCTTGTACTGATAATTCTGCCTGGTGGATCTCAGCAGGACCAACAGGGAATTTGTTCCTGCAGCGTCCCAGCTCTCACCTGCTCTCGGCGTTGGTCAGGTTCCCCGTGCACTCGTTCACCTCCAGTGGGCACTCACAGGGACACTCACACTCGTTCTGTTCCATCCTGCAGGGCAGAAAACACCGGGAAAACCCATCAGACACTGCTGGGATTTTAACCCCGTGGTGGTGCAGCTCTAGAGCAGCAGTTCCCATGGAAAAGGCTGTGCAGTGACTCTGCTCCTTCCTCAGAACAGGGATTGCTCTGTCCTGCACCAGGACTGAGGGTGGTGCACTCCTGGAATACCAAACACAGGGAGTCCCTCAGATTTGGATGTAGGGATGCTTCCTGGCAGTGCCACAAACACCTCATGGTGGTGTGGGCAAAACCTCCTGGATCCCCTCAGTGAAAACCCCCCAATCCATGTAAAATCATGGAAATTTCTATACCTCACTCACAGGAACTGCTCTTGAGTCACTGAATCTCTGTTTCTTTCAGCATTACCTGCCCAAACCCCTCTGGGTTAAACTCTGACAAGCTGGCAGAGATACCCTGCACCTCTCACAGGCAGCACAGGCAGAGCAACTCTGAATGAACTGGTGAACTCCCTGTGCTCTTCTGAGCCTCAAAGCAGGGCCGAGGGCAGGAGTGTCGCAGCCCACGCGGCGCTGTCACCTGTGGCAGTTGAGGCACAGCCTGTCCACCATGCTGCAGGCACAGAAGGCCAGCGAGTCGCACGTCTCGTTGACGATGCCCACGAAGGCGTTGGTGCCCGGGATCCTCGTCAGCCTGTACTTGGAGCAGTGACTGCCATGCACCAGGTTGGTCAGGTCACCCTGGGCAAAAACAAGGTGTCAGTGCTGTCAGAGGTTGTTTTGGGGAGCTGAAGACTCCTCCCTTCCTCAGGGATCCTACAGAGCTGTGGGGACACAGATTCTGCCACGGCTTCCAGAGGTGGTGGCTCCCCTCAGGAGTTTTTGTGAGGGAGTGCCACCCTCACAAAGCAGAGGTGGGTAAGTTTTGCTACCCAGATACTTCTGGGTGAAAAGACTTTGCTGAAGACAGGAAGGAATTGGCTTAGTTGTGAAAATGAGATGTGGCAGCAGAGGTGACGTTTCACTCCTTCCCAGCGCTCGCTGACCCGTCCCCACGGTGCCAGCCCTCAGTGACCTCCCCAGAAGCTCTGACGAGCCACCACCACCTGCTGGAAACCTCCTGAGACTTAAAAAAGGACACCACAGCACTGCCCAACTCCTGCAGGCTCCTTCCTGATTCCTTCCTACAAGTTTCTGCTTTGTCCTACACAATTTCCTTCCCAACATCACACTTCCCACTTGGCATTTCAAGTGTGGGGAAAATGTTTAAGCCAACCTGACATAAATCAATGTATTCTGACATGACTTGCAAATATTTTCCAATCTCCTCCCACAGTGTAACAGCTTTGGAATCACTGTGGAGGGAGTTTGGCAGGGTGGATCTGTGGCTCTTTGAGGGATGACAGCCCTTGGTTTAGACTCCTCTTGAGAGGAAGCTCACACAGAATCCATGGAGAGCACAGAGTGTGCAGGACCCCAGAGATTTCGGTCTCACAAATGACAGCCTGGGAATGCTCACCAGTAAATGGATTTGTTTGGACACCTAAAGATAAGTTATTAGAGACCCGACAGGAGGATGTGACTCTGGTCAGAGCTGGAGCCAGAGGTCAGCTCAGATCCAAAGCAACACATCCCAACTACAGCTGGAAAATCCCCACCCAGCAAGAACAAACTGCCCTTCTTCCCCCGATGCTGGCTGAGACCCTGCAGACAGCAGCCACACTTGGCCAGGGCTCACATCCATAACCCCTGGATGTCAGGGGACTCTGTTTGTGCAGCCTGGTTCGTGTCTGGAGAAAGGGAGCAGAGGCCAATCCCCACAGAAGGCTGGCTCCCAGCCCCAGCTGCTGAGCCTGGCAGGGACTTGTGTTTCCACCAGGAGAAACCCAACCCAACCAAAGCCCACTCAAAAGCAAAATCAGATGGAAACCACGCTCACCACTAAGCTGGTGTTGAATTTATAGAAGCGCTGCACGGTCCTGTCGCTGAAGCTGTTGCAGAGGTTTTTCTTGACAAAGTTGGGGTGGTTCAGGATGTCGTTTGCTACCAGAGGTTCCTAAGGGGGAAAGGCAGGATTTGATGCCTTTGGAATCAGAGGCAGACAGGAATGAGAGATATGGAATAAGGCAAGGGAAAGCAGGCAGACCTTGTGTGTGATGTGCTGCTGCTCCACGGGCGCGTGGCCCTTGGGGTCGATGAGGGTTGGATGTGCCACCAGGTACCCCCTGTCCTCCATGATGAAGCACCTGCCCCAAAACACAGTGAGAGCCTCCTGTGAGACCTCCTTGGGCTTCAGGGCAATGGGGTGAAATAAAACATGGTCTTAAAGGGCTTTTAAAGGTTTCCATTCAACAGGGCCACGAAACGAATTCCCTGCAAAATGTTCTTAAAGAATGTGTTGGGTATTTCCCCAAAGCTTTTCCATCTGCTACTGCTCCAGAGAGCCAGAGCCATCAAGGAGTTGAAAACAGAGCTGATTAAAACCAGAAAGGAGAAGCCATCAGTGCATTGTCCGATTGGGGGAGAGCCAGAAATGAACAGAGCCTAATGAACTTGGAAAGCTTTAATGGTTTATTAATTTACTATGTGATTAATTAAAGAGAGATTTCACACTCTCCTTTAATGCCCTCCCCCTTCAGAATTCATTTTGAGCGGGGGATAAATCACTCCCAGCCCTCCCAAGCTTTCCTCTCCCTTTTCAGCTCTTCCCACATTGGAGCCGTGTCCCGGTCCAGAATCCAGGGAGTTCAATCCATCCCTTTTCCCCATTTTCCCTTTCCCCCTCTCCCGTTTCCATGGCCACAGACGGCAGCGCCGGGGAACAGGGTGGCACCGACATCAGGGACTCGGTGGCCAGGGAGGGGACAGGGGGACGACAGGGGGACGTTAAAAGCCCACTTGATGTTCCCAAAAGCTCAGCAGGGTGGCAGCCACAGCCCTGGCACAGCAGGAATCCAGCTGGATCCGGGGCTGGAGCAGCTTTCTGTGGGATTCTCATGGGATGTGTCGGGTACCCACAGCAGAAAGCAGGGGAAGCTCTGTGCTCTTTAGGGGTACAAAGGAGGCACGAAAACTTGGATTTTTGGGGGGGTTTCCATTAGAAATAGAAGTGGGGATGTGATGTTTACTCTTTTTCCTGACAGAAAATCCTTAGGAGAGATATACTACAAAAACCCAAACACCTGCATTTATGTCAAGACTGGAAACACTGGATCCAATTTCTACATCAGAATGGTTTGAAAAATATCCTCAAAAAAAAAAATATCCTCATTTGG